TCTCTCTCCCTTCTCTCTCTCTCTCTCTCTCTCTCTTTCTCCTTCTCTCTTTCTCTCTTTCAAATACACACGCATATACAAACATATACACGCGCGCACGCACACACACACACACACACAAACTCACTCACATGTATGTATGCAATATGTATCAACAACATACACGAATCGTCTGCAGAACAACGAGAGATATATGACCAATAGAATGCAGTGAAAAACTCTGAGGGTGGTATCACATGCGCTGTCTCTGATACATTGTGCAGACAAGATTTATGACAGCCAGTGTCCGTTACAGTGTGGTCGTATTTTTATTTTTATCACATACCGCCGTTGTTGCTGTTGGTTTAGTACGATTTAACACCCCCTTGACTCAAAGCAGGTTGTCTCAATCGACAAAGAACTCAGCTCAACGGAGAGGGCAAAGCAGAAGAAAAAAGCACAGACAGAAAATTTTGATACATCCAACAACAACAAAAATCAAACGTGCGTTTAATGCTTGATCATGAGAGCATTTCATGGACCAGCCCTTAAAATGTACTAAGCCCAACTTTTTGACAATTTTGTTCATCGCAGTTTCTTTATCTCTTTGAAGACGCGCATTCTGGTCATTAGGCAACGCATGAAGACAATCTGTATTGGAGTATAATATCTTCTGTATTCATACAGGTTTTCAAACTCTGGTTTCTTTATCTGAAAATTAAACAGGCAAGCAACAAGATGCGTACTGTAAAATGTGCAAATACGTGTTTCTCATGTATATAATATATAATGGTGCGAAAAGTGCCGAAACTTTGCCTTTGGCTTACTTCTGATCAGACATAATATGCGTGCACTTTGTCCGTATGATTTAAACAAAAGTTAATCTCCTACTTTGCGTGTGCTCAAGAAAAAATTTGTCTAAACTCAAATTCTAAATGTTGAAAAAAAAAGCAAGAAAAATATTATATATAACGTAGGTACAATTATTGTTGAAGAATGAATTTTTTTTTCTGTCGTGTAAAATTTTGCGTTGTGGGTTTATTACATTTTAACAGCTTGACGATGAATTGCAACAGCCAACAAACAGTGAATCTATTTGCTATCCATTCTCACTTTTCAACCTACCCAAAACCCATGCGTCAATCAACAAGGCGATTCCTCTGACTCAAGCGAGACCAGACGAAATCGTAACAGCAAAAACGTCATGATTGTACCAATGAGTTTACATATTGCACTTTGGACTCAAGTTCTTTTCTTTTAAACGAAAATCTACCCATGTTATCCTTTGGCTGTTTACAACCGCAAAACAGTCTAACATTGATAATAGGACACAGGCCATCTTACATACTTTCTTGCATCAGAGTTACCCAGGTGGGAATGGGTAACCGGCCATAGACAGCGAAAGATATTGTCAGTATGTTAGTGATTTAGCGTCAATAAATAGCAGCTTGTACTGTATTCTTCCCAGGAAGTTGAGATTGTTTCAGTGTGTTAGCAATTCTTCAGGGGTAATAATGCAGATTGTAATGCGCGTAGAGCTTGATGCTGAGCGGACATTTCCGATACAAATGCTATAATTTATTATTTATAATTATCATTATGTATTTGAATAGATAGTGACTCTAATCGGTAAACCAGTCCAACATGGACTTTGCGGGTCAACGCCGACCTGTACCGAATGCTCGTCTAGTCGGGGCCCGCAAAGTAATTTACATTTTCATTAAATGACGATTGTGAAGGCCCACATACACGCACACCTGGCTCTGGTTTAGGAGAAGACGTTCCACCGAGCTGTGCTGACTAGTCCTATGACACGTTTCTGATCCAAAAATCAAATAGACTCCGCCGGGCTTGCTCTGAGTACATCAGAGTTTATCGTCGGTTATTTTCGTGAGGGATTTACACCGCCTTCGTCATTATTTAGATCAATTTGGGATCGGGCCGCTTCGAGTCTCCTAGTCCGAGTCGGAGCCTTCCTGTGCTGTACGGGATATACGTCTCATCCGCAGAGAGACGGAGGTATTCGATAAAATAACTTCCTCAAATGTTAGTGGAACATTTTGCCTGCAACTCAGTAAGACAAACAATAAAGTTACATTTCATACATTTGTAGTTTACCATGTGTATGGAAAGAAAAGGAGAGAGAGAGAAAGAGAGAGAGAGAGAGAGAGAGAGAGAGAGAGAGAGAGAGAGAGGGGGGCAGACAGACAGACAGACAGACAGACAGACAGACAGACAGACAGACAGACAGACAGACCGACAGACCGACAGACAGACAGACTGAAAAACAGACAGGCTGGCGGGAGGCGACAGGCGAGCGGGCAAAGATAGAGGTAAAGAGACAGAGGGGGGTCAAAGAAAGTCAGAGAAAATCAAAGTAAGAGAGAGGAAAAGATAGGGGGAAGGGGACAGTGCGGTTTGGTCAAAGATTGAAGCTGCGAGCCGCACGATAACAGCCTCACACCAGCCATCGACTGGACATATGCAAATAGGGTCAGTGCCCACACCCACAGCAAGTGGCAGAGAGGCTGTCGCCGAAAAATAAAATCCACAGAAAGACGCCCGAAAAAATAGAACCTCCTGACTTCAAGGAACTTTAGTCCCCATATATTATTGCATGTCCGACAATTTTTTGAAGCCATCAGTCAGTAGAACATTAGCTCGTTCTGAAAATATTCACTTACAGGGCTTGATAGGGGTAGACTAAGATGACGAGTGACTTAAGGTACGATTTGTTAGGTATTATATGGGATTTTTTTTTTTTAACCTTCAACTTTGTTAGAGCTAATGGTGCTCCCAACGTAGATTCAAACGTAAGCAATTTTTAAAACCACATCAGAGGTCAATGATTATTCTCACAGAATCCTTCTGCGCTGTGTGCAGCAGCTGGTTTGACCAGTCATGCAGATCCGACTAATAGGATGCATGTGAAGTCAACTTTACAGGCCCTCGTCTGCCGATATTATGATCACGGGAGCCATTTATTCACGTCCCGCCAGACGGCTTTGGTCCTTTCCGACCGCGGGGAATGTCCCTCTGTAGAGAAAGCCAGTAGATTATACCTGTGTAACAGAGAAACTTCCGGTGAATGTATTCTGTAAGATAAAGTGGTTTACTATTGCTTGGTGTTCTACAAATTCCGTGACATCTTTAAAAATCACTTTCTCTTTGGGTTTGGCTTTTTTTCCCCTCAAAGTGTGGTGTGTAGATCGTTTATACCAGTAGAACGCGCGTGTGTCTAAGCAGTGAATTCTGAACTATGGTTAATCCTGTTAATGTTAGTGAGATGTGCCCCCCTCCTTTTCCCTCTCCCTTTTATTCTCTCTCTCTCTCTCTCTCTCTCTCTCTCTCTCTCTCTCTCTCTCTCTCTCTCTCTCTCTCTCTCTCTCTCTCTCTCTCTCTCTCTCTTTCTCTCTTCTCTCTCTCTCTCTACCTCTCTATCTCTCTACCTTTCTATCTATCTATCTATCTACCAATCACCCTCACACACACACATATACACTCACACACAAATACACACACACGCGCGCGCGCGCCTCTCTATCTCTCTATCTATCTCTCTCTTTCTTTGTCTCTTTCTGTCGGTCGGTCTGTCTATCTGCTTTTTTTGTCTCTCTTATTCTCTGTCTGTCTGTCTGTCTGTCTGTCTGTCTGTCTGTCTGTCTGTCTGTCTGTCTGTCTGTCTGTCTGTCTGTCTGTCTGTCTGTCTGTCTGTCTGTCTGTCTGTCTCTCTCTCTCTCTCTCTCTCTCTCTCTCTCTCTCTCTCTCTCTCTCTCTCTCTCTCTCTGTATGTCTCAATCACACACACATACACACACACGCCCACACGTACAAACACGCACACATACAAACATATACATACTCACACACACACACATGAATGTATCTTTTGCTTTCATTTAACAAACGTTCCTGTTATGTTTCCTAACGGCGACTTCAGTGGTTCTCTCTATTCACCAATAACCGCTGTCAACACTTCTGCAAACAAGCCCTCATATTTTCCCCTTTCATGTCTAGTTTCTGCAATGACAAGTACATAACGGCCAGCAGAACGGATATGAAATGGGAAAAGAACTTTTCAGAAAGCCGGTCTTGCGTGGTAGTACAGTCAAACATCTGTGCGCGTCGCTTCGCGTAAGTCTGAATAAAGGTGAAAAATTAGTGTGATAACATAATACACGACTTAAGCAGCGAATACGGACACGAACAGAAGGTAAAATACGTGTTTGAAGAGGGCGATACGTTCTACTCAAAAAGATGTTAAGGCCCTCTTAGTGTAACTTAAAACCTGGATTGCGCCAGTGTTTATAAAAAAAACACCTTCTATGTTCAGATGATAGGATACTTTATTCACTCAGTTAAGTTTCACACGGTATGGATTCAACAATGTTAGTTTTAGCGTGTCAAAATCAAGGTGCTGAATGTGGTACTTCCACTCCTCAAAAGTCATACATCATTAGCATTTATGCAGATAGTCCAACATTGTCTAAGGGATTAAATGAGGTGTTTTAGAGTGAGCTGTAGTATTGCTTGCTGTTCCTGTTTGAGAATACGGGAAAGTTTGTCCCCCAGTAGGGCGGAGGTTGGTGAGTAATCACTCGAGGACACCCTTTAACTGTTTTATGGGGTTGAGACCAGGTGACAAAGCCGGCCAGTCCATCCTGTTTTACTCTACGATGCTTGATGAAATTGTCTACTACAAAGAAACCGTGAAGTTGAGCGTTATCCCCCTGAACAATGGCGCCTGGTGCCATAGCCCTAACAGCACGCAGAGCAAAGGGTTGAAGAATCTCTTTCTGCTTCGGATTTCAATTTAATTGCATTAGATACGATGGAGGGATGTTCTGTTGACCAACATCCTCCCGCCCCCCTTCCATAACGGTTATGCTTCTGCACACAAGCGTCTTTGAAGCGTTTGCTGGGTTGTCTAAAGCCACGCACCTTGCTGTCAATGAAAACCAAGTTGAATATGGACTCATCTGTGAACAACACACATGACCAATGTTGACGTGTCTCTTGCAGGTGATAAGTACACCAGGTCTGTTGGGCATTGCGTAGGACTGGGTCAGGGAATAGACGGACTGCTGGTCATCTTGAGCAGAGTTCATGCAGACGTAATCTCTTCCTGGGCACTCCTTTTGATGTTGTAATAGGGTCACCAGCTATTGTCTAAGTTGTGTTGAGTTTAAAGTTGTCGCATTGTCAAAAAGACAAGGTAGCGATCTTGTTGTCTAGTTGTGCTACTTGGTCGCTAGGACAATATCAGCTTTTCCACACTTCCAGTCTTTGCAACCGGATATCTTGACTTAATAATGACTGAGAAGATCTCTGCAAAATATTTTGCCACTTTTCTAACTAGAGCTGTCTCATAGAGCCAGGCCAGTGACCTCCCTCAGTTATTCAAATTGCGGTTTTTAAACCACACAAAAATTGGTAATACAAGTACCTCTAAAGCCAAAAAGGGGGCTCTCATAGCCTAGAGGTTAAGGTGTTGGCCTCTCATTCAAAGGTCCCGAGTTCGAATCCGGGTAATGACCGAAAACATTTCTTCTCTAAAATTGTTTTCTTTTCCCTTCTTTCCTGCTCTCTAGCAATATTCTGTTGTCTGCTTTAGTTTCCTCTTTCGGCCTTCTCCCCTCACCTCCTTTGCCCCCTTCTCTGGGTTCCTCACTATTTCTGCAGCCTTTCTACTGATACTCCTTGGCTCCTTCTTACTGCTGTCTTTCAGCCACACCCCTTATCTTCTGGTAGGAAAGATCGACACCTAGCCTTCTCGGACAAGGGCGAAAAAACTCGGAGGACTCGAGTGCAAGTTGTGCACAGTAAAGATCCCTTCTTGGTCTATAATCGATATGAGTAGGTTTCGGCCGCCACCACTGCAAAATTTAAAATTTCCTATAAACTGAAATAGTTTAATGTGTCCCGCGCGCTCATATGACCTTATGCAGTTGCGAGTGCCGTAAAACACTTTTTTTTTTTTAAAGGCCAGAAAAACTCGCTTAGTAGTTATGGCAGATTACGATGTTTCCCATTTGATTTCCATCAATATTCAGTACTCGAGGTCGTGGGAATTATGCTAGACAGTCATTTTTAACAGCACCCTATTTTTGTGTCCATGTGTAAATCTCGATTGGAAAAACATATTATTGGGTTACGTTAAGGTTTTCAAACAGCGACTAGAGGTCACCCAGTTTTAAGCAACTCACCTTAAACTACAAAGGCGGGATAACTATATATATATATATATTTAAGTAGCAATCATAAAAAATCGAAGTGGTCTTTCGCTTTTGTTTTGTTTTTTAAGTAGATATTTATGTAATATTGAACTATATTTAAAATGAACCTGTACAACACTCAAGAATGGTGAGCACTTTCTATGATAAAAGTAGCTAATTAAATCTAGTAGTGGAGCCTCTACCTCACGATCAGTATTTCGCAGTGATTCAGTTTTGTAACAGTAATTGTGAAACTAAGTTCTACTCAACTCCACTCAGCTGAAACTGTGAAGGCGCTCTTGTTGGACTGATAGCTGGCAACATTTAAATATCCACGTTGTTGTCTTGGCGCTGCTGATGTGCCATCTGTCCATTTCCTCACTTCTATGGCTTCTGAGCTTTGGGAGTAGCACATTCAATGTATTAATGAATATGGCGTGCTTTTACTCTCGCTATCCTTTGAAAAATATAGAAATATTATGCTTCCTCGATCACTTAAATGTAAACACACTACCAAACAAGTGATATCTTTCTTGAACTCGGTAGTTCCAAATCACGTTCTACCAACCGTTGAACGAGAAGCATCTTTCTTTTGATCCAAGTTCTTTTCGACTTGGATTCGATAAGAGAACTGACCATGTGATGTAAGATATGTTGCAAATATTGAAGCTTTTCCCGCATGGTTGTATATAATGATAAACACCATTATAAAATATTCATGTTCGATGATGTAGTTGGATACCCCAGTGTCACAGATACAGCATAAATAAGGCCGTAACAGACACATGATGAGACCTTGACTTGCTAAATTAGCCGGGAAGTAACGCATTCTCAAGTAGAATTCGACCACTTATTTCCATAATCGATGGTGTCATTGAGTGCTCCCCTTCGCTCTTTCTCTACGGCTACAGAAAACGGGCACAGGGCACAGACCCACGACTTCGGGCTAATTCACTACACTGGCCGAGAAGTGACGCATTCCCGTTTAGATTTCGAACGCACCTGTCATCTCTGAGAAGATCAAGGGCCCAGATCCCTGTAATTTCGGTGTCAATTCCGCGATTTTCCGCTAGGAGGTTACCTATGGTGAGGTGTGAAGTTTCCACGCTTGTGAGATTGAATATTGTGCACTGCTGATCGGCTCGACTTCCCAGAGTGAATTTGGAGGTTTTCAGAATGTCTGGATTACTTGACACTCTTCGCATTCAGGGAGACATGGATTATCTATTTCAGACCAAAATGACGTCCCCAATCACGGTAAGAACAGCTGTAGTGTTGCTAAGATTAAAAGAATGGTTCATTAATTTTTTTTAATTGAATTTATATAGAAATATCATTGATAGTTTATTCCACGAGACAGATGGATCAGCAACCAACAAATTAAAAAAATGTCTGAGCAAACAGAGAAGTAAAGAGAAAGGCTGACACTGCAAACGCAGAGAAGAGCTGTATTATAACAGCTGACTATCTATCTATCTATCTATCTATCTATCTATCTATCTATCTATCTATCTATCTATCTATCTATCTATCTATCTATCTATCTATCTACCTACCTATCTATCTATCTATCTATCTATCTGTCTGTCTATCTATCTATCTATCTATCTATCTATCTATCTATATATCTATCTATCTATCTATCTATCTATCTATCTATCTATCTATCTATCTATCAGTCTGTTGTCTGTCTGTCTGTCTGTCTGTCTGTCTGTCTGTCTGTCTGTCTGTCTGTCTGTCTGTCTGTCTGTCTGTCTGTCTGTCTGTATGTCAGTCTGGTGGGGAGAAAGGAGAAAATATTTCATCAAGTATCTCGGTCTTTCTGCTGGGATATTGTATCCCCCTTAACACGGGTTGGCCCTAATTGGCAGGTGGGAAGCCCGTTCCTAAATTATGTCAATTGTGTCGATGAGGACGTAAAAACACCACCCGGTACTGATATCTATATAATTATAGTTATATATTTATGAATATAAACAAGCGTGTGTTGGAGTGTACATGTATCTGTCTGCATCTGCATCTACGATTCTACTTGACGTTCATAGAGCGGCCTGGTGGGGGGGGGGGGGAAGAAAGAGAGAGAGAGAGAGAGAGAGAGAGAGAGAGAGAGAGAGAGAGAGAGAGAGCGAGAGAGAGAGATAGAGAGAGAGCGAGAAAGAGAGAGAGTGAGAGAGAGAGAGGGAAAGTGAGTGAGAGAGAGAGAGAGAGAGAGAGAGAGACAGAGAGAGAGAGAGAGAGAGAGAGAGAAAGAGAGAGAGGGGGGGTTAGATTAGAATATGTTTACTTGTACTTGAGTTCTCTTTCAATCAAAATAACATAATATTGTTATCCATTACATGTGTCCAATAATTACTTCAACGAAATCTGAATAGAATGTATAACATAGTATTTGGTTAATATGATATTGTTATGTTTGACCTTTCAGGTGTAATCGTTTTTCCTTGCAGTGCTGACATACACATCCTGTGGTCGTTAGCAACTGTCTTCTTTTTTTAAAGGAATTGATGAATACAAATTATATGTCGACACAATATGACTTCTTGGCGTCCTCTGCGTAAAAATTGGATTATACAGACATCGTATATGTATAATGACATAGAAACATGAAATTTCACCTTATAACGTTTTATGTGGCAGGTACATCACACTTTACAGGGTATATCTGCCAATAGTCACAATTTCACAAACACATCATTAGGTGTACTAGTTGCACAGTGAGACAGTGCAGCGTCCTGTTTTGAGACAGGGATAGCGTGTCTCGTTCGTGGACTCACCTCCAATGAAACATTTATCTGAAAGCCGTGTCACCAAGATTTCTCGACATTGTGAGCCCAAGTTCATTTTTCACTTGAACAGCTCCGGTTTCTGTTAGACAGTTTTGCTTGAAAAACTCCACAGCTAAAGTGTCTGACAGAATTTCCCGGTAGCCAATTCTCTAAACTGCTCGTCTCCAATTCCTCAAGAAAATTAAGACTTAAAATGTTAATGATTTAAGGATTTTCTCTGTAACATGCACAAGATGTTACTTCAATCTCCAAGTGTTGTAGTATTTTTACCGAGTATTTCCGCCTATCAGCCGGGACGCAGTATACCACCCAGCTATCCTCCCATCTTGTACTATCAATGAATCAGGAATGCGGGCTTGACCGTCGGTGTTGAAAGCTCATCTGTTTTATCGTTGCTGTAGCTATTGATGTTGCTGTTGCCGTTGCTGCTTTTGCTATTGTTATTTGTTGTTTACCTTCGTAGTTTGGGAGTCTGATTATGATTAACTCACCTATCAAACCACATTTATTGCTATCTAAGGACTTCCACATACACTTTAATCGGAAGTGTTTAAAAATGTCAAAGCAGTTTCATGAAGTTCCTATAGCGAGTTGAATAAAGGACGTCAAGATTACGAGGCGAAAGTCTCAACCCTCACAAGACACTGACTCCACAGCAAATCTGGCATCGGTGTTGTAAAGAAAAGAAAATCTTTACACACCTATTATCGTCAATTACATTACCAGGCCAGAATCAAACTTGGCA